GCGAGATGCGCTCAGTATAAGAAGGTGAACTTGCTTATGTTGATCAAGAACAAGCAATAAGTCTCATGTGTTAGAAAATGACGAGTTTTCAAATTCGGCTTTTTTAGGACGGTGCGCAGTTCGCAAAATGGCGTTGTGTTCACAAAATTTCCGCCACTACTCCATCGCACATGGCACTTGTCGAAATTGCTGAAGTGCGAATCTCTTTCCTTCATCTGTGAAAAAGCTCTTATGTTAATTTTTGACTCAGGTTCTCGCACGCTACGCTTCTATCTGCCAGCAAAACGGTCTTGTCCCTATCGTTGAGCCGGAAATCCTCCCTGATGGCGAACACGACATTCAAAGATGTCAAAAAATCACCGAAACCGTCTTGTCGTACTGCTACAGGGCTCTCAATGACCATCACGTCTATTTGGAGGGAACACTTCTCAAACCAAATATGGTCACCGCAGGACAGGGGTTCAAGGGGAAGAAGCCAACACCCGATGAGGTTGGACAAGCTACAGTCACTGCGTTGCAGAGATCTGTACCGGCTGCAGTTCCTGGAGTTGTATTCCTCTCAGGAGGACAATCTGAGGAAGAAGCCACTCTCAATTTGAATGCTATGAATAAAGTGGGCTTTTTGAATGAATCGCTTACAGAAGTATCGCTATCGCTTATCTACATGTACTTGTTTAGGTGCAAGGAAAGAGACCATGGGTTTTAACTTTCTCATATGGTCGAGCTTTGCAAGCTTCAACTCTGGCTAAATGGGCAGGAAAAGATGAAAACATCAAAGCTGCACAAGTGAGATGATTTTTAAAAAAACGCTTAACCAATTGAATACATAAACATAGTATATTTAGGCTGTTCTATTACAAAGAGCCCAAGCGAATTCGCTGGCGTCGGTTGGAAAGTACACCGGCAATCCAAATGCGGACGCGGCAGCATCCAAATCGCTTTTCGTGGCAAATCACGCTTACTGATCTCAAGATATTTAGAAAATAGATTGTGTACCAAATGTTTATTGTATTAGGTGCATAGTGTGAAAATGAAATGAAGAATGGTAGTGCTATGCATTTGTTTGGATGCTAAATATTATGATATTGCTTCAAAAAAAAGAAGTAGTACCGAATTAAGCAGCGCTTGGAGCTAAGCATGCACAAAGTAATCTTATGTAATTAAACTACCGGAGATGTCCGTTGTCAAATGTTAGAAATGTGAGTGCATCTAAGACTTAGAACTCAGTATCAAACGGCCTTCCGGATTGCCACTGCCATGTGCACAATTCTCTTGGGAAAATTAGCAGCCAAAGCAATTCATGATTTTTGTCGAACATCACTAGCCGGAGCTAATACTTGTGCTTTTTACTTTTTACAGAACACTTATGGCCAACTTTGCTTTTAATGTAAACTGTAAGTAAACTAGGAATGTCAGCAGTGGACTTAAACGCATCAGGCTGATGCTGTTATTATGTTGTCCTTGAGCTAATCTCAGTCATATATTAAGAAACTTTAAAGCTTCGGAAGTTGCGAAATTAGCAAAGCTTGTGGGGATATCAAAAGGTTCGACTCGCGTTACAATGATGTTGGTATTTATAAAGTTTTGTTTAATTATATTGATTTATTAGGTACGTCTGCAACATGCAGTAGAGAACTGTAATATAATTTTCACAAATGTTCCTTCAATGAAATTATTTAACGAGAATAGGTTGGAAACGTAAAATATTGTTGGTAGAACACTTAGCAAGAAAAACTGCGACCTGGTTACCACTTGATTGAAACGTCAACAATTTTGCTAATATTCAATAATTTTCCCAAAATTTTATACACCGTTATTAAATTTTACTTATTCTTTCTGCCAAAGTACTGACCCCACAAAAATACATTACGCTAAGGATCGGACTTCACAGTTTAGATTTTTGGGATCTAATTACAAGCTTTCTGGTGATATTGTTTTCCTTCTCTATAGCCAAGATCGTCCATCCGCCTAGTAAAGCTAAGACTCCTTTGATGCTCTAAAGCCGTGAGCCATCTTTGAAAGATTGTTCTTCCTCCTTCTTTAGGTGCTACACAATTGACTATTGTTTGTCTTCTCCTCGCTTGGCCGTCAACAAGGAAAATAGAGACGAAATTATGGGTTACAAATACAGCGGTTGCCCATTGATGAGTTAAATAACACAATACCAACCCATCCTCCTGTAGATATTGTCCATATCTTTATTTTTTTCACGTAAAAATGATGCATTTTTAATCGGCAGCAGGAGCACTACAATAATTTCTATCAATTTGAAGGAGAATCATTTAATTATTGAGTTGTCGGATACAATTACGCCGTCTTTTTTCAAAATTAAGAATTCCAAAAAACTAAATTGAAAAAGAAAACAAAGGACAAATCTCACTCTACAAGATTTCGCACTTGGCTTCTACAATGTTCGGATTAAGTAAAATTAAAAGTGATTGAAACTGATCTAGAGGGCAGAAAAACTCAACTCTTATTTTTTTCTAAATGTTAGAAACTCAAGGCTCTAACGCAATAGAGTAATTGGATACGTTGATCAGAAGAATCATCTACATTACTTTCGGTAGGACCTTCCTGTAAGATTATGGTAGGTTTATGCCATACTAGTGGTCAAATTACGAATTTGTCTAGCAAGTTGTCTGGTGGAGCTATCTGAAATTCTAATTATAAATATTATATCCACGTCGCGTAATGAGCCCACTGTATACATATTCAATGGGCTCATTACGGAAAGCGCTCCTTTTCCAATTCGATATTCGCATCCCGTGTAAATCGACAACCTTCCTGCATGCAGGTGTCAGCGCAGTCAACTTCCCGCACCTCCTGCAAAACAGCTTGCCCTCAATGGGAACGAGATTTTTCAAGCAAACAAACCAATATACTTATATAAGTCCAGGAGCGTAGATTTCTCTCCCGAAGTTTTCGCTACAAACTTGCACAACTCGCACTTTTTGTATGCGTGGGAGCTAACAACGCTAAAAATATCACTCTGATTCTTCGAATAAATTTTGAAAAGTATTAATCTTTGTTGATTATGCTTTTTTTCACTCACAGACCTTCTACCCAGTGCCCAAAGTAGCTAGGAAAGAGTCATCTACTAACCAGAGATAGAAAGTTACCCTTGTCAACTTTAGGCTACCACCCCCACTTAGCGAAACTGTCCTAAACTGAGTTTGAGTAAAAATTGATGCAGGGTTCAAACTTCATTATTGATATTGGGTGCTTTAGAATGTCAAACTTCAATTTGCAGTGTTATTGAAGCCTAATCGGGAACGGCGCTCATCATTCTTGTAGCTTCCTAGTGCACAACTTTTCCAGTCATTGATATGATTTTAATGAGGATGAAAAAGAGTAGTTTTGAGTGCAGAAGTTGAAGTTGCAAAGGCCACAAATTGCAAGGAAAAAGTGCTGAACTCGCCCCATAACTATTTCTTGCGGTTTGTGTCTAAGAATTTCGAAAGGCATGCATCGTTGGAAGTAATAATCATTATGATTGAGAATTAAACTATAGAGGCATGTACGTCACATAGCCTTGACTAGCGAAAATCAAAAGAATAATTCGTTATGATGAGAATTGCGAAAGTTGCGCAGTTGTGAGCTGGATTACCCATACGATTCTGAGCAGAATAGTATGTGGATGTTGGGAGTTTCGCTAAGTAAGAGCCACGATAAGCCACCAGAGCCAAATGCCCCGTCGGCTATGGTCGTTCACTGCCGCATCTCAAATTGCACATTCTCTACGCAACTAAGCACGAAGTTTAGCTCTGGTACCTTTTCCCTGTTCTTTGCAAATTGATATAAGCAAATCTATCATTATGAAGGTCTTGAAACTTCATAATGATAGATTGAAAATTGAAACATACATTCGAGCAGACAACTGCGCAACATTCAGTTTTTTGGTCTGAGTGAATGAAAAAAGAAAAACCGCGTTTTCTCTCCTCGATTTCTAAGTCAAATCAAAGCTTTTCGGTCCATTTTTTCACTCATTCAACAGGAAATCTTATTTGCATTACAGCTGAAAACTGCGCAACTTTTAGTTTCAAATGTACACCGAATTATTTTAAAAGACGCACCGAAAAACCCGTATTTATGACTTTTTGAAGATTTATTGCAGCTAGACTATCTCAACCTCTGAATCACTCCGTTGGAATGCTGCGCTGTAGAACGCAGACAACCGTTTGAATCTCAGAAATCTGAATTCAGAGAGATTAAAGGAGACATGCAAATATGCGTTTTCTTTTGAAGTCGTT